CATGGTAGTAGATAAACAAAATTAGCTAATCAGCCATAGTAGTAGATAAACAAAATGAGCTAATCAGCCATAGTAGTAGATAAACAAAATGAGCTAATCAGCCATGGTAGTAGATAAACAAAATTAGCTAATCAGCCATAGTAGTAGATAAACAAAATGAGCTTGAAATAAATAAATGTATCTTCCTACCCCTCTTTTTGTGTTATTATAGTTTTTATATAGCGGCTACTTTCATGTTTATAGCATGGGTCGAGCCTCGAGCCCACTTCTAAGTAGCCAAGCCAAGCCAAGTACTTTGCACTTGACCTCTCGGCCACGCCTCCTCCATCCCTCCCCTTTTCCACTAAACACAAAAGTTTGTCCTTCATACAATCTTTGACATTTCTTTGGCTTCTCAATTCAATAGCGAGGTAATTAAAATTCCTATACACTAAATATTGTTTACTTAAGACTGTGTACGCTCTCCTTTTAATCTTGAATTTACATGTCGCACCTCAACGATCTAACTGACAGCGGTTCTCAAACTTTTTTGCTCCGCGATCCCTTATTATAATTCTCCCCTCCCCACTCTGACGTGACCCCACCCACACAGCAATAGAAGAATAGACAATAACAATCCATATTTTCGATGGTCTTAGGCGACCCCTGGCAAATCGTCAATCGACACACAAGGGGGTTGCGACCCATAGGTTGAGAACCCCTGATCTAACATAATTTTTAGTACTAGTTTGTTTGTCACAATGAATTAAATTTCATTCCTCTTCTCTCCATCCTTTTCTCTCTTTCTCTCTCTCTCTTTCTCTGTTTGTCCCAAATTTCTCTCTTTTTTTTTACAAATCTCTCTCTTTGTCTCTCTCTCTAATTCTCTCCATTTCTTTCTTTTTTTCTCTACTTCTCTCTATTTCTCTCTCTTTATCTCTCTCTTATCTTATCTTATATAATACAGACGTTACTTTAAAAAAGAAGATGATTACAACCTACGCGTCATGCATTTAGTCATGCATATTAACCAATGACTTAAATTCTGCCAAGTCGCTGGTTTTCCTGGCTAGCTCAGGCAACCCATTCCATGCTCTAATAGCACTAGGGAAGAAGGAGTATTTGTACAAATTTGTCCTAGCATATGGGATGAGAAATGTACATTTATCTTTGTGTCTTTCAGAGTATTTTATTAAATTTTGTTTTTGTATTTTCAGTGTTTTATGTATAATTCCTTCTCTCTCTCTCTCTCTCATATATATATATATATATATATATATATATATATATATATATATTATATCTTTCTGAGTATGACTAAAAAAATGTTATCTTATCTTATAAATTCCAGACGTTACTTCAGTTACTTCAAAAAAAAAACGATAATTACGTCCTACGCCTTTCAAACTAGTGATGCATGTCCATCAATGACTTAAATTCTGCCAAGTCGTTGGTTTTACATGCTGATACAGGCAACCCATTCTCTAATGGTACTAGGAAAGAAGGAGATTTTGCACGCTTTTGTTCTAGCGTATGGAATAAGAAAAAGTGTGCCTCTATGTGTCTATCTGAGTATTTCGAGAAGACATATGGAAACCTTTTTAAAAAAAAGCGATAGTGTCACTTTTCGAACGAGGAAGTCACAATTCAAGATCCATTCCGGTACAGAGTTTAATGTGAAATTTGTCCTGAACAGCTCAGTCCTGGCTACAATTAAAATAGTTGATATCTTTGTGTGTGTGTGTGTGTGTGCCTTGCTACTATTGAAATAGTTGATATCTTTGTGTGTGTGTGTGTGTGCCTTGCTACGATTGAAATAGTTGATATCTGTTTGTGTGTGTGTGTGTGCCTGTGCCCTGCCCGGAACACTTTCAAACACTTTTCAATCCGTCTATAAAACGGGCCGCATTACAACGTCGCCGCCAATCCAACACATTATTTGATTCTCTAATCCATGGGCTCTCAACCTGTGGGTCGCGACCCCTTTGAGGTTAAATGACTATTTGCCGGTGGTCGCGTAAGTCCATCGCAAAACTGAGGGGTGGCAATTTTTTGTATCGAATTTCTTTTTTGTTTCTAATGTGTTGTAAAAAGTATATTTGTACTATAGTGGATATAGATTGACACAAGTGGTGGCGATGGTAAGGGACATTACTCAAACTACATTATTACCAAACACATTGTGAAACGATTGTCAAATTTAATACTCAATGAAAAAAAAAGGTATGATTAACGAATATAAATAATTGCATACATCCAGAGGATACAGAGGGGCACACCTTTAGTAAATGTATTATCTTTATCTTTTAGCTCTATCTTTCTTTCTCTCTCTCTCTCTACCTTGCACTCTCTCTCTCCCTTCCCCCCTCCACTCTCTCTCCCTTCCCCCCTCCACTCTCTCCCTCCCTTCCCCCCTCCACTCTCTCTCCCTTCCCCCCTCCACTCTCTCTCTCCCTTCCCCCCTCCACTCTCTCTCCCTTCCCCCCTCCACTCTCTCTCCCTTCCCCCCTCCACTCTCTCTCCCTTCCCCCCTCCACTCTCTCTCCCTTCCCCCCTCCACTCTCTCTCCCTATTTCTCTCCCTCTCGTCTTGTATACTTTGACTCCTCCTTTAGTTTCTACAATCATTTAGTTCAAAGAAACTGAAGATAGCTTGACAACAAGAACAAACAATCCGAGGTTGTCTCATCATTGGAGGGGGCCCTGGACGAGTGTCATTATGGACACGAATATTTGTACGATGGACAGAAGGTGACCAACTCACGAAAGATTCTCTTTGTGACGGGGCCCCAATCTCTCTTTCTCTGTTATTCTCTCTCTACGTTTCTCTTTTCCTCTCGTCTTAGTTTAAATAATAATAATAATAATAAAGCTTTTCTTCGAGTCTGAAGAGTAATGAGGAATGCAATATTTCTCGTGGATACACAGTCCCAGTTGTGACCTACATATTTTGCCACACCAAGTGCAAGCAGAACCTTGGTCCGGCTGTGGTCGATATAGATTTTCTTAATGCGAGGCTAGGCTAACATTAGACGCCGGATACATCAAACATAAGTGCTTGGCAATGAAATTTAATTTTGGCCTTTAGACATTTAAATGTTGGCTCAAAAAAACAACAACATTTGGGTTAAAATTGCGAAAAACAATTACTAAGTTTCTTTCTTGAAAATGACTAAGTTGTTTTCAGCTTTTTGCTGTCGAAGGGAGTTGGGAGACTTATTGATAATCAGTCCTCAGTGCAAAGAATTGTATAGTGTACATTGACAATACATTATGAATGTAAAACTTCACTACTAATACAGCTCTACGTTGCTACATGACGTGATTTCCTAGAGGGCGCTCCACATATTATGTTTATATTTGTCTTTTTTTAAGGACGAAATCAGGAATTCCCTTTTTAGAAACTTAAAGCCAAAATAAATTTTACGGTAACGAAACATGTTGAAACCAATAGAACAGTCGACAGTCGACTTCTCACGATCTGGACAATGAGTTAAAATTGTTCTCACTTCTTCTTGTATACCTTGAAAGTTCAAAGAAAATCACAAAAGCCGTTTTTTTTAAAATAAAAATTACAAATACGAACATTTAAGCATTGCTCTATTAATAGTATTATATTTGGGAATTTCCTCAAGCATACGTTCTCAATGTCCTATTACGTGGATAGAAGTGTCTCCTAAAATAGCGCGCCACAGTCAAGTGACGAGATTACCATAGTGGCAGTCGTTACGAAAGAACAAAGCCAACAACATGTTAGTATATGTTGAAATAGTTTAGGAAGTTGTTGAGACTGTTGGGATGTGAATAAGATTCAAATAACGTAAAGTCAATGATTATTTATGTTATTTTTTTTGTGTACCTTAATTCTAATGTATACGATTTTGAGAAAGTGGTACCTAATGTAGATATCCAAGACTTCCTCTAGATTCCAATCAATTTAGTTGTTTGTTTAATGTAACTAAGTGTTATTTTTTATGTAAGGTTAGGATTGGTGTTTGATTATAATAAGGGTAAATAGCGGCAAGCGTCACATAAAGAAATTAACAAACATGTTCAATTGTAACATCTAATAATGTGTCTAATTGTATTTTAACAAGATCTTTTTTTTACCGAGTTTTTACAAAGTCACTCAATCTCTCTGTAAGGTTTCATTCTCATACAGTTTATTTATTCCGCTTTGCATTCTGGGATTGAGTTTAAACTTTCGCGTGTATTTATTGTCAATGACAACACGTGACTTAATAAGCAAAACAATAACCAATCACTTGACCAATGAGTCTTAATTAATGTCTGTTGTTTTCTATGGGACATGTATTATAGCGGCCTTGGCCTACCAGTAACAATAATCACTCACAGATATATACTCGACTAACAAGTCACAAATGTTACTTAACCGGTGTTGATATTTTGATAGCAATTAACAGACACAGTGGTAAAACTGGTTGAATTTCTATAATGGAGAGACTATCTCGATTTTTTTAAAAATAGTGTTATTAAAACTTAAGTATAAAACCTTCACCTCCTTCCAGTGGTCCATAAAATGATTGTTTAGACCAACAAGAAGAGACAGTTGATTTAATTTTCAATCCTATCAAATATGATGAGAAATATTTAAATTTAAAACATGTAGAAATAGTGTATACCTCTTCAAACTTATAATATTTCAGATAGGCGAACACTACTACTAATAAGCGCATCTCTGCACATTGTGACCAACATGGTCCCACAACATCGGATGTTAATCTCTAATGTTTCATTAGAATAAAAGCTTTGAATAAATGCGCACTTTTTAATTTCAAGGTTAACATGGCACCAGCGCATTGTAACTCAGCCTCAAAGAACAAAGATTTGCTTTAGACCCAGTAGGTCAGACCCGCTTTGTAGTTATCCATACTGCCACCCCTCAGTGAGGCCACTGGTAATATATATGACAAGAATATATCAATTTAAATACTAGGGGGCGCTTCAAAGCTGGGGAAAATTTTTTGATGTTAAAGAAATAATCGGGAATTCCCTGAATGACTTTTTAGTCTAGGTCCGTGTTTCTATAACTAGAACTCAGGAAGTTGTCAGTACAAGCCCAGAGATTGTAAAACGTCCGTCAAACTATTTCAATGTCGTGTCTTCAATGTACAATTGTATTGAGATAAAGTTTCTCTTGATATAGAATAGTAGAATAGTGAACTGTAGAACGTAGTTAGGTTTGTATGGATGTTGTATAGATTTACATCTAAAACTGGGCAAATCTTTTTTTTAAGATAAAAAAATCTAAAGTGCAGATGATTTAAAAAAGGTTATCTGTTTCTTTGGCCTACTGTTAACGAGCAGGGGGTCTTGTAGCCAGCATAACGACCCGTACCCAATGGATTTTTCAAATTCAAAATACCAGTCGTCATTAAGATTCAAACCCAGGACCCAAGGTTAAAATTGCAAGTATATGTTTGTATCTGCATATGTGAGTTTATAATTTGATGTATAGCGCCAATGATGTGGTAAAGGAAAAACTAAATTTATAAGATAGTGATATATAATAGTGTCTACACATATTTTTTGTGACTATATCACTAAACGAATTTCTTGCTAAATATAGATTTAATAAGAAACCGGAAATTCCAAATATTACTTCTGAATTATAAATAGACACCAAAGTTTGGTCCATTCTTTCGTCATTTGCCAATTTACTTAATTCTACTTCCTTAACGTAATGTTAGTGAAACTCCAGCGACACATGTCCAGAAATAAACAAAAAAAAATACTCTCGTGTGAGAGACAACTAGATTCCAGACCTCGACAGCAAGTGCGGACAACTCTTTAGGACATATCAAGGCATTTCAGGATAGCTAGAAAGAAAAGGGCTAGGCAAAAGTCAGATCAAAACTGTACCAACAAACATTTACAGCTAATGTTTGGAAATGTACGAGAAAAAAAAAGTAATATATGAGTTACAACAAGGTCTACAAAGTACTCATATTTTTGTACGTAAATTCTGAAACTAGAAGATAAAAAAGTCTTTTTGGGTAACAAAGGTTAGAAATAATTCAGTTATCTGCGCTTCTATTTTTTGTTAAAATGTATTTTTTGAACCGATTCTTATTTATTTTAGAACTCGTCAAAGATGTTCTCCAAGATGTTCCTCAAGAAAAAAATTCAAACTGATAGAAAAGTATCTACAAAACTCATAACAGACAAAGTAAGTCTGTATTTGTTTAAATTAACTAGAAAATGTTTTCTTATTTAGGCTTCTCTTTTTATAAATTTAAGCAAACATCTGATACCCAAGCAAAAACAAAAAGAAGCAATGACGCCAACATAGCGCGTCCTTAGAAACAGCGCACCATTATAGTTTTAAAAAAATCGTAACACACACACATGCACACACCTAGCGAAGAAGCAATCCATAAATGCATGACACCCGCTACCCTCTCCCGTCGTCCTCTGTGAGGTTTTAACTAGGCAGTAGAATATCAAACATGTACAAACAACTTTTTGTTTCATCTCATACTTTTTTCTTCACTTCACGCTCAACCTTGACATGCCAAGTAGGATTTTTATGAAAAATTAAATATTAATTGTCATTGATACAATCATCAATGAATTTTGTTTCTCTTTAACGAAGCTAGACCGTCCATGGAAATGCCCGAGATAGATAATTCCTCCGTTTCTAATATAATAACAATAATAATACTAATAAAGACAATAGCAATGTAGAATTTCAATTGCAATTTTAAAGTGCAGAAAAATCTGGTTTTACATGAATGCGATTACTTTTGAAATGAATTTTAATTCAATTATTATGATCTAAAACTAGCAGTCTTGATAGATCTATTGTATCTTTACAATTTAAATGATGTTTGTAAAATATAGTCTATCAGTAATACATGATCATATATTTATATGTTTTAAAATCTTATCCGAACCTAGTCTTATACTCTTTGTCAAATGACTTTTGTATTCGTCCATATTGTTATAGAGATTTAAATTGTAAGGGTAAATAAAAGTTTCGATTACGAATAACAAATACATCAGCCGATAAATCCATTCTTCTTTCTTTTCTAGATTAGCTTCTGTAGAGACTAGATCTAGAATTAGAGTAGACTTAATTAAACTTTAAGTTTATAGATCTATAAATGTCTAGATTTAGTAGTAAATATTGTAAACATACAAATTTAGATCTATATCTAAATTAAATTAGACTTCAATTTAAAATCTATTACGTAATAGATCAAATTTCCTTTAATAGATCTAGAGTAAATCTATATTTCTCCTATCTAATCAATTTATAGATCACCTTATGATAGATATAGGTTCAGATAATATTCTACTAGATCCATAATCAGAATAGGCCTATAAATAGATCTATTTAGTGTTAAGAGAATTTTATATCTTGTAAAAAGTTTTCCTTTTAAACCCTGCATTCAAAATATGTAGTGCAGACGATGTTATTAAGTTCATCTTTTTTGTGGCCTACAGTTAACGAGGGTGTCTTGTGACCAGCACAACGACCAACTACAAGTGCTCCTTCCCTAGTGCCAGTAAAGAATGGAATGGGTTGCCCGTAGTAGCCTGAAAAACCAAAGACTTATTAGAAGTTTAGTTCAATGATTAACATGCATGTCTAGATTGACACTTGAAATGCATAGAACATAATTATGTTCTTTTTTAAATTAACATCTGTACTATTTAAATAACTTAAGCTACAACGGTAAATTTAAATCTAAAAGTTAGACTCTGGTGTAGATCTATATAAACTACCATAACTAATTAGATATTAGGTAATGTAGAAAATATATATCTACATCTAAATTCACATTAGCTTCTAGTCTAGATTTATAAACAGTTTAATTTATACTAGATCTTGCCTATTGATATATCCATCTTTAGAGATTAGATATAGGCCTACTTAGATTTAAATAAAAGTTAATGCATCTATATAAAATCTAAAAGATAAACAAAAAGTAGTCCTACAAGATCTATAGACTAATTCTAAAATTGTAAATATCTTTCTTTAAAAAATAATTAAAATTAACTAGATAGGATCTAAAGTGTACACTTTAAAATGTAGATATAGTTACATACTTTTTTTCTAATTGCAAAAAATCAGACAGGATGACTAGGGACAGAGCGAGCATGATTCAAACCCAAGACTATGCGAGACAACTATTATTGCATATCACACTACCAGGCTGCCAGATCTAGATAAAAAATACCCCATTTTGTAATAAGGATACTATTATCCTTATTTAAATTAATAAACATACGAAATTCTAGACTAGTGTATTTTTTGTTATTTGTGGTTTATATTTTTTGTTATTTGTGGTTTCTTTATATTTTTTGTTATTTGTGGTTTCTTTATATTTTTTGTTATTTGTGAATTCTTTATATTTTTTGTTATTTGTGGTTTCTTTATATTTTTTGTTATTTGACTGTTTTTTTTTCTTTTATTACTACTTTTCATTTTTATTATTTTGTTTTCTATCTTAAGGAATTTGTCTTTTAGATTTAGAATCTAGATCTAGTACTCCAAAAGTAGTTTTAAAGTCAATTGGAACTCTAAATTGAAATCTAGACTACCAAAGCCTGATGAATTTATTTTTTTTTTTTACATTTTCTTATCAAGCATTTCACATGTATTACATTCAATCTAAGTGCTAAAAAATTAATCTTAATTGAAACACTTTATAAAACAACAAAATATTTATTTAATTTTACTGTACAAGCAATATAGAAATTAGATTTTTCTGAAAATATTTCATTGATGTAAATTTCTTGATATATATATATATATATAAAAAAAAGAAAGCAACTTTATATTCATATTTTGTTCTAATTTCCAGAAAAATACAGACCTTTGTTTTCCTCAAGACACATGTGGACTTAATGGTATGAAATCAAAGTTAAACAATACCTAACTTTAAAACTAGCCTTATCATCATCAGCATCACTCCTTTGAGTTCCTCATGGAACATAGGACCTCAACAAAAACACGCCACTCTCCACGGCCTCTTGCTAGCCTTTTAATGGTGTTCCAGCTCTTCCCGGTCCTCTCGGCTTCTTCATGTACACTGCGTTGCCATGTTCTTTTTGGTGTTCCTTTGCGTCTTGTTCCCTGGGGGTTTCCTTCTAAAACCTGCCTAGCTCTGTTACTGGTATCTTTTCTAAAGGTGTGACCAATCCATCTCCACTTTCTTTCTAAGATCTGCACCTCTTTAATTTTTCTGTCCACTTATCTTCCACAGTTTGGTGTTTTCTAATTAATGGTATGAAATCAGAGTAAAACAATACCTAACTTTAAAATTAGTCTTATGGCTTTATTTTATTAAGTTTTTTAACTAGAATTTAGCACAATAATAAGTAGTCTATCAAGGTCAAGTTATTGTAATGTTAGGTCTATGGTCAGCTTCTAGAACTCTAATTTAAATATTTAGTTTTATCTCTATGTAAAAATTCAGTTTTTGAAAAAATATTTTTTGTTCTTTCAGAAAAAAAAATGTAAATAAAAAAAAAATAAACTGACTGACACATGTATTTAAACCATTTCAGTTTGTCTAAAGGATCAGACTGACCTAGCAAACTTCTCCTGTCTTGGGGATGAGAATCAAGATACAGGTAAACTTTTGATTTGTTAATGTTTAGATAGAGAAAGGTTTTTGTATAAGTCTATTTTCTAATAATAATAAAAAGAATATATAAAATAGTTATTTGACTTTCATCCTTTCAGATCCTTATCATTTCACCAGTGACCAGTCCAAAGTCCAGTCAGATGAGGTTAAAGGTCCACTAATTGGTAACTTTTGAGTTTAATTTTTAGTGTATACACTGTAGTGATCAACACATGAGTTAGACTTGATCTATTTATAGATATCTCTTGATAGACTCAATACTGTACATTGTGTTGTAAACATTGGATCAAGTTTATTTCCTTGTTCTCCAGGTGATCATGAAACTCAGGAGTCAGAAGGTGGAGAAGCTGATCTACACAAACATCGAGGTGACTGTAAGAAGAATCCAGGTCATAGCCAGTTTATACCTGTTGAGACATTCACCTTGAAACATTTACCTAAAGGTCTTCAAAACAAAGATTTGTATAAATACATTAAAGCTACAGCTGACCTCACAGTTAGAGTTGATGTTAGAATGTCAAGTCCAAACAGACCAAAGTTTTGGCCAGAAACAACTCAACCATATCCATTTTCTAACATGAGTGAGAGAAGAAACTTGAGGACAGGAAGTGGAATAGTGTGGGCTGTAAACAAGTTTCAAGATGGAGTCAGACAAGATGGAAGTCGTTATAGACCTACTGCCTACACAAAGTGTTGGTGTAGAAAATGTGAAGGTTCAAACTCACCCAGCAATGTGTGGTGGGAGTTTGATGTGACCACAGCCACACATGTGGTTTTTGATTACATTGAGGCCAACCACACGACCTTGA